AACAAAACCATTATACCCTGATTTCCCATTTTCAATGGGTTCAGGGTATAATAAGCGCGAATGTTAGACAACAGCTAAAAAAAAAACACACTTGGCCAATTAAAAGGCGGCTACGCTTTGAGGTTAAGTCACGTGATGCCACTTTCTAGAACTGGAAATCAAATAGCCGTCCGAAATAAGGCATCTAAATATGTATGTGTTACAGTTCTCATATTGTATATATGTATATAAACGAGATGCATTCGAGCTTATAAATTACTTATTGCACAATACAGCGAAAACTTTTTATAGTGAGAGGAGAACAGGTGTGTATATAGGAGAATATGGCAGAGATAGATAATAAATAGTTTTAAAAAACTAATTTTCTGAATTTCACAATTTCAATGTAACCTAACAAATTGGGTTGGATGAGTTTTTCAATGTTGAAAAATAGTATATCAAACCGATGCTGATTCACTTATTCCGATAACAGTTCTGATTATGATCTACAGGAAGAAACACTGAACATAAACAGCCTTTACAAAAACATTCACCAACATTGCCAATATATATTAGCCACAATTGAACCTTTAAAACACTATTAGTTGTCATTTAAAAACAATAATAATAATATGAGCATTACAAAATAAAATACTTTCTCTGATTTAAAAATTTAAAAACTTACAAAAACAAAATGTATAAAACTCATCATTTACTTTTTAAATTTATTATTAAAATGTTTGCTTGACTCTTTGCACTGTAAATATGAACTGCGTACTGGTCTTACAAGTAGTCCTGCCGTTTGCTTTAATCGTATCTTCTTTTGGAAACTGTGCAAGCCATTTCATATCAAAAGCGAATTTATATTAAAGTTTGCAATCCAATAGGCCACATACACACACACACACACACACACACGTTACTGGATTTGTTTTCTTTTTCTAACCTTTTGTTGATTATTTTCTTTTTACGCTTTATTCTGCGTATGTATGTACATACACACATATACATATACATACATACAATACACACAGTGCTAAGTTGTTTTTCTCCACTATTTCGTTGTTGCGAATTTTGCTTTCAATTTAATTTTCTATGCTTCGTTTTGTCTTTTTTGTTTATGTTATAAAAATATATTTTTATATTTCAGCAAATGCGGCGGCAAAACACAGAATTAGAAAGAAACAAAAAAACTTTTATTGCGAGAGTGCCGGTGCGCACGTATGTACATATTTAAACGTTTGTGTATGTGTATATTCATATGAATGTATGTACATACATACATATGTAGGTACAAATATGTAAATATGTGTGAAAGAGTGCAGTATTAAATGTTTGCAAGCTTTTCTTTTAACAATTGTCTCTCTCGCACAACAACAATAACACTAGCCAGAACAGTTATCGCAGCGAAAACAAAAACAAAATGTATGAATAGAAAGAAAAAAGCGTAACTACGACGCAATTCAGTTTACTCACACTCATTGCCACATTCTTCACATCTCTCAGCTCAGATTTTGTGTTTTTTTTTTTTGTTTTTGTTAGTGGGCTTTTGTCGCTAACGGCTTAAACGAGGGTTGCTTGCGGCATTTTGCGTGGCAGGACCACAAGCACGACGCAATATGCATACGAAACACACATACAACATATACATACAATGTATTTATACCGAATTTTAACTGGCTTTTATTTCCGCATTCCGCACCCGAACTACGCAACGGACACGCGGACACTCAAACAGGAACTGCGCTGTACTGCGATCAGTTAAAGGTGCCGTCGCTCAATGTCGTCGCCGTTAGGCGCAGGCCGCTGGAAGCCGCGATGCTTTCGAGTGTGTGTGTGTATGTCGCTTCTAATTCGCTCTCCGTCTCACGTTCACTCACACTTGCAGCTAAGTTTCGTTAAGTTTTTGACGTTTCTTCCTGTTCCTGTGTTCCTCCACACCATCATGGTTGCCCTACTGCCCCACACACCGATGCTGCCGTTGCTGCCAACATTTCCACACAACACGTCGTGGCCTTCAGCCACATTTCGTTCTCTCTTTCACGCTCTCACTCATTCTCTCTATCTTCCTCTCTCACTCTCTCTCTCTCTGCTTTTATGTGCTGTGTTCTCTGCCATTGCCATTCTTTCATTCATGTATTCTACTTGTCCCCTGCGCAATGTTTGAAAGTTCTTTAGCATTCTTTGCTCATTTTTGTCCGCGCGAATGTGTGCGTGTGTGTTTATGTATTTTTATCCGTGTGCTTGTGCGCGCTGCTGTGTTTGTGTCGGTGTTCTTTGCTTTAGTTGTGCTTTTTGCGCTCCGCAACCAAAAATACATAAATACATACATATGTATGTATGTTTTTTGTTTTTATTTTTCGGCAATAACACATTTATCTATGATGGTGTGCACGAACTGAGCTTCAGTTTTAATTTTTGCGAGCGATTCGTTTGCTGTTGCAGCACACGATTTATGTATATTGCACGAAGCCTAAACGCACTACTAAAGGATCAAGTACTACTTAAATAGTGAGTATATGTATATACATATGTACATATGTACATGCATACATACATGTGAGTATGCATGGGACATGTAACATGCCTTGTTTCAATTCGCTTTCGTTCCAGAAAAGAAATATACACGCGAATACATATATGAACACACACACACACACACACACCCACCAAGAACTTTTCCATACACTGAGCGCAAGAATTGCAGCGAATTTAAAGTACAATGGGCTTTTTCAGATCAAAACTAGTAAATTTATTGTTCTTTAGTAGATGTGCATGCATATGTGTAAAATATGCAGAAATTAGGTATGGGAACATTACACATTTGATATTTTGTATTTTGAAAAAAAAAAAAAAAAAAAAAAAATTATAAGAAAATAAATAAATAAACAAATAAATTAAAATAAGAATAATGGTGAATAAATAAAACTAAATAAGTAAAAATAAATAACCAACATCGGGACACTTTTTGTTTTGTATATGCACGTCTCTAATGGGAAATTAGCAAATATTTTTAAGCAAGCCGTTTCCTGAAAGCTTCTTAAAAATATTTACTAAATCTGTCAGTAGATAAATTTATTCGCCTGTTGCGCTTTGATAGATTATTGATATATGATTAATCAAGATAAATATATATATTTTAAATATCTGGAAATAGTTGAAGTTGTAATAAAAATAAATACCTTCTTTAGAAACACCAGCAATGGCGTGAATTTACTTCCTTTTCCTTCTTTACAGTTGGCTGACACCTCCTTAGATGATGCAATCTTTATTCTTTTTTTTTCATTTTATTTTCACTGACATTTTATTTTCATGCTTAATTAAAATTTTGTTTGTATAGTAAAGCAGAACGGAATCACATGTTTGACACGTAATATTCGCAGGAGATTCAAGTAAAAAATTTATATAGACATTTTATTGCACTTACATATATATATATATATATATATATATGTATATATAATTTAATTGAATTTTTTTTTATTTGTTCTTTTCTTTTGCGCACTTCTCAATTTTTTTTAGCACAATTAATCTATTATTGTTTTTATTTATATTGCTATTTAATAGTTCTTGTTTTTTTTTTTTTTTTTTTTTTTTTTTTTTTTTTTTTTTTTTTTTTTTT